GACCTCATGTGTTAAAAATATTTGAATTCTTAGAAACCAGAATCAATGAACAGGTACTGTGTCTTAGAATGAAGTAAGCCATCCATTATTGAATTAGACTTAATTGGAATTATTTTAGAGATTTCTAACTTTGGGTAGTAGTGAAAGAAAAATAATTGAAATTGCTTGGCATGAATTACCTTATGACAGGTACAAAATACAATTTATTTGTTTAACACTTTTAGTATTTCCTTATTATTAGCACTTCTAGGTGGTTTTTGTTAAAAAACAAAATTAGTTTGCATGACTACTGCTTGGTTTTTTATTGTACTCTATGGTTTAGATTAAGATGTATTTAGGCCCTATGTATGCCAAAATGAATGTAAACACAGATTATAGTGAAGAAGTTGCTATTTCTTGCTTTGTGGGATGAAATTTTTCACTGACAAATACTCCTTTTCCCAGATTCCACCTGCTAAGAACAAATTAGTCTATTGTTTCTTCTTGCTTTCCAAAGACATCCAAATCAGCCACAAATAAAACCTTGTCTACTGTCTAGTCAGTTTACTTCTATGTGACATAGCCTGACATGTCATTTTGGAAATGGTACATCTGTTGGTCAGTAGTGGGAGGGAAGGTAGTACTATGAAAAAAATAGGAACTTGTAACTGAAGGAGGGAAAATAGGAAATACCAGTTATTTGCTGACCATCTCATAGTAGCTAGGTCTTGTTAGGCACTGTACTAACAAAAGCCATCTATGAGTCGAGGTATCTGCAGTTGGCTTAAAACACCAAAGAGAAAGTTCTTCAAGTAGTGCAAAACAAGGTGCAATTAGTAGAGAAAAGTGTGTTAAGGAAACACTAGAAGAGAGATCTTTTTGAGGAAATTGATTTGACCAGAGGCCTTCGCAGATGGAAATTGTCTTCCACATTGGATGTTCTCAACTGATGAGGGAGTACAGAAGGATGATTTAAATAAACTATTCTTCCTTTGTTAGTTGATAATTGTCTTTATTAAGGATGCTATTAATATTTTAAAATGTCAACATTAAGATAAAATGAATGACCACTATATGACGACTTGGTGCTGTTTGTTTTTTAACAAGGTATATAGTTCACAGCCATGAAAGTAACCATTGTGCTTATGATAGAGTCTGTAGTTATGCAAATTGTAAAATGTATTATAATTTGGCGTCATTTAATGCACTTACAACGATGTGCATTTATCACCTCCACTTCCAAAAGGAAACCTTTTACCCATCAAGCAGTCACCACCTTGCTCCTTATCCTGAGCTTATGGCAACCTCTAATCTTTTCTCTATGGAATTTACTGTCATAAACTTTTATTTAAAATGTATGAACCTTTTTTCATGTGCCTTCTTTAATAAAGCATTATGTTACTAAAGTTCATCTATATTGTACCATGAGTCAGTACTTCAGTCCTTTTATGACTGAATAGACTTCCTTTGTGTACACATACAGCTCTTCCTCACTACCCACAGGGAATGACTCTAGGACCATACCTTGGCTAACAAAATCTGAAGATGCTCAAAAGCCTGTATATATAATAGTGTAGTATCTTCATGTAGATCATCTCTAAATAGCTTATAAGTAACACAAGGTAAGTGCACAAATAGATGTTATATGATTAAGAAATCATAAGAAAAAAGTCCAGTTTTCAGTAGACATGCAATCTCCCTCCTCTCCAGGATTCCAATTCTATAGTTTATTGTATCCAGAGATATAGAACTTACAATTCTATGACATTTTGTCTGTTTATGATGGTTAGAATATGTCAATTTAATATCATCTAGAATCACTTGGGAAGAGAAACTCAATGAGGGATTGTCTAGAAAAGGTTGACCTATGGGCATCTCTGTGGGGGATTATTTTGATTGCAGTAATTGATGTGGGCACACCATGCCTAAAAGTGGGTGGCACCATTTATTGGGCTTGGGTCCTGGTATAAAAAAGGAGAGAGTCTTCAAAACATGCATTCAGTCTCTCTCTGCTCTGGATTATGGATGTAACTAGCTGTTTCAAGCTCCTGCCTTGATCTCCCTGCAGTGGTAGACTGCAACCTGGAATTGTGAGCTAAAATAAACCTTTTTTTTCCACTTAGTTGTTTTTGCCAGAGTAATTTATTACAGCAAGTAGACAAACTAGGACACCTTTCATGCAGTGATAGGCATTTCAGTGATTCCACCTTTTAGCACTGCTAAGAGCATTATTGTTAAGAATTTGCTTCAATACCTGTTTTTACTTCTTTTGGATATATACCTCTGTCTAGAAATGCAATTCATAATGACAAATCTGTTTAACTTTTTAAAAATTTCCCATAGTAGGTACACCATTTTACATTCCCAACAGCAATGTAGAAGAGAGCCCATTTGTTCATATCCTCTCTAGCTTTTATTTTCTGGGAGTTTTTTTTCAATCATTAATTGAATTTTTTCTTTGACAGTTTCTTACATGTACACAATACATCCTAGTCCCCCATAAAGTATTAGAATTACAAGCATGCGTTAATGAAAGAAATATGAAAATCTTTACTTTTCATAAATTATTCGACATAGGAACAAATCTTTCAGAAAATACTTGCATTCTGATTACTCTCATCCTCCACCTTCTCCTGGTCCCCATTCATCCTTGTTAATCCCCTCTCCTCCTCATATGTTCTCTTCCCCAGTTCATGTGTTTGTTTTCTGTCCCACTAAATTTATCCAGGATCCTCTGAGTAACCTGGAGGGGTATGAAATTTATGCACTGGAGCCTGATAGCTGACAACAAAGACTCTGTGTCTCCCCCTAGAATCTATGAATAACCAGTAGCTCAGCAGGGAGGGGTAGGGCCCCACAAACCACTCCCCATCCGTGACTGGCTATTAGGTCAAACACAGCTGCTTTGAGTTCATGACAACAATGACTGTGTCATGGCCAAAAGATAACATTTCACATTCTTTCCCCCTTTCATCCAGCTATTACATTCTTTCTACCCCCTGTCTTCTATGGTAGACTCCCTAAACCTTAGGAGCCAAGAGCCCCTATATCCATCACTGTTCAATATAAATAGAAGTTTCGCTGATTAAGCTAAAAGTAGCATTTGTCCTCCCATATGCCATAGTAACTAATTTTTGTTTTCCTGATTGATGGCTTGGCTTGGTTTAGTTTGTTTTGCTTGAGGCAGGGTTTTAGCAGGCAGCCTATGCTGGCCAGGCGCTTACTATGTTAACCAGGCTGACCTCAGATTGACCATCCTCCTCCCTTAGACTCTTGAGAGCTGGGATTAGAGACATCAGCAACATGCCCAGCAGTTGTAAATGTTTAACATTTCTAGCCCTTTATTCATTTCAAAATTAGATCTTTCCTGAGACTTAAAAGATGATTCATTAGGTAAAGCATTTTCCATGTGAGTGTGAGGACGGTGGATCCTTAAAACCCGCATAAAAATCAGGTGGGCCTCCTGTGATACAAAGCAAGTGGTAAGTGGAGACAGGGAATCCCCTGACTAGCCAGACTACCCAAAACAGTGAGCTCTTGGTTTGCTGAGAGACCCTATTTCAATATAGAAGGGCCCATCAATGACAATTCCCAATGTCAACCTTGGGACTCCACATGCACTTGCACATGCATGATGATACATGGACATATACACATGGAAAAAAAATAACCAAAATGAAATTAGATTATGTTCTTGAGTTGTCAGAGTTATTTATGTAATCTGAATACTAAGCTCTACATATAATTTCAAACATTTTTTCACCTTCTGTACGTGGCCTTTTCACCTTTTTGACACACAAAGGTTTTCAATTTTGGATAATGCAGTTTATCTTTTATTTCTTTTTGTTATTTGTTTGGGGGAGGGAGGAAGGGGGAGAGAGGGAGGAGGAGGGGGAGAGAGAGAGATTGAGAGAGGTCTGTCCAGTCCTAGATTTAAATATTCTTTGCCAAATCCAGGGTCATTAGGATTTATTGTATATTATGTATTCACTTCTAGGAGTTTTATAGATTTGGGGGGGGTGTATTTTAGGTTAGTATTTTGTATATGTTGTGAGAGAAGTGTCTAAATCCATTTTATTGCATGTTCCGAAACTTCTAAATTCATAATGTAGTAGAACATCATTATCATCATTCTCCACGGTTTAAACTATAAAGAATCTTTGTGATATAAAATTATTTTACTTATTTTTTAAAAAATCAAAGGTCAATATGATAATCCCCTTAGAAGAAAACAGGTTAATCTTTAGAAACGTTACTTGACACCAAACAAATAAATAACAAAATGAAAAGTAGATGAAATGGACTTCATCAAAAGCAAAAACTTGTCTTCTAAGATCACCATCAAGAAAGTAAAAGACAACTCACAGACTTGGAAAATATTGCCAGATGATATAACAATGATGTCTAGTGTCCATAATCTCTAAAGGACTTGTAAAACAAGAATAATGCAATAAATACAACTTTAAAATCAGAAAAGGGTTTGTAAAGCTGTTTCTCCAGGAAAAGCTACATGTAGGCAACAGACCTGCAAACTGCTCAGCAACATCAGTCATGAGTAAAACACAGCCCTCGGGGTTGGTGGTGTAAATATGGCAATGAATGATACGGCAGCATTGAGATAGTCCTTCCTTCCTGGTGGGAATATAAGCAGGTGAAGCCACTTTGAAAAACTTTTCATAGTTCCTCCATAAAGTAAACGTATAACTCAGGAATACTCCTAGTCATAGAACAAAAGGTTTGAAAACATACATCTCCATGAAAGCTTATAGGTGAATATTCTTAGCAGCCAAAAAGTAGAGACAACTCAATATCCATCAACAGATGAATGAATAAGGAAAGTGTAAAGCTGTGCACTAAAATGCACATAATAAAAAAGGAATGCACCGTGATACAGCTTCAATGTGATGAACTTGAAAACGTAATGAAAGACGCCACATGTAAAGTGTCACAAGTGTCCTGAACAGGAAATTATTAAGGTGCACAAGTAGTTCCAGAGGAAGAGGGGAAATGGGGAATGACTCATGAACAAGGAATTTCTTCCTGAGGATGAAAATATTTTGGAGTTCAAGAAATATGATTTTATACTGTAAATACACCAAAACCCACTGCATTCTATATATTAAAAGTGTGAATCTTAAAGTAAGTACATGAAATATACCTTAAAATATCTTAAAATGTCATATTTTTATATTTTAAAACAATACTCATTTGATATTCACCCTAAGAAAATTTTTTTCGTGTTTTAGAAATTTATCGTGGCATTCTGCGTTCACCATTAATGGCACAGTGCGATATCCGCATTCTCACGCATTCATTGATCTGACTGAAGACCTTACAGCAGGTGAGTGGCACAGAAATGAAATATTTCCTTCATCTACTGAAGAATTATCAGATTTCATATGCTCTTGTTTTTATAAAAATTTTTTCTGAGCTGTTACAATTTTATGCAACATTTCTTAATCAAATTTAGACCCCGTCTCCCATATCCATATACCCCATCCCCCCAAATGGACTTCAAGTATTCTGCCATACATGTTAAGTCCTATCCAGTCAAGCATTTTTACCCAGATGTCCTTCAGTGTAAATTCGTCCACTGGAGTCTAGTCAGCCCACCTAGTGATCGTATCTAAGGTATTCTCTTCCTCACCCAGTAACAATCAGTCTCCAGTAGTTCTCAGTCTAGAACCAACCTGCCACCCATTTCTCTCCTCCCCTCTGCTCTCTTTTGGGGGGGGGGCTCTTGTTTAATTGATTTGGCCCGTTTAATTTAATGGGTCCTGTGCTGGATGCCACCATTGCCACAAGTTCACATGTGCAAGCTTCCAGTGTCCTGAAAGCCTCTGCTTCCCTGCGTCCATGAACCAACCCTGGCTCTTACTATCTTACCACCCCCTCTTCCACAGTGGTCTCTTCCGTGGGTGGGCAGGGTTCAATATAGGAGTACTAGCCAGGGATACACACTCTGCAGTCTCTTATTCTTTAAAACTTAGCCAGTTGTGACGTTCTGTGTGCATCTCACTCTGTTGTATAAGGAAACTTTACTTGGTGAGAGTTGAAGGATGCATTAGTTTTCTCTCTACCCCTTGTTCTGCTATGTTCCATGAGCCTTAGGTGTAGAGATTCAACAATAGATGTGTCACCTAGTACTGGGAATCTGTCAGATGTATATTCTCTGTTTCTGACCATTTGTGGAATTCTGCAGTAGCCTCTATCTGTTGAAAAAGAAGCTTCTTTGATGAGTGGTGTATGGTATTCTTGTCTGTAAATATAAGGAACCATATTTTGCATGGTAAGAAATTTCATTTGTTTAGACATATGAAAGAGATTAGGGTTTTTTCTTAAGATCTATGTCCCCTCCTGCCATGTGTTTTTGGCTGAATTTACAGTGCCACTTATGAGTTCAATCTCATTGAGAGGGCTTTAAGTACCATTAGATAGTCCCCCAGCTAACAGTGCCACTACTGCACAAATAGAGGCAGTTTGCTGTGCCACTCTGTGACTATTAGGCTTTAGGACTGGGTTGGACCACTGATTGCTTTTCTCCCACTTTCCCAACCTCCCCCCAGGCAACATCTGTTCCCTCCTAGCTCCCTCTCTTGGGTTCTTTCTTTTCCTTTACCTCCATGTATCCTTTCAATTTTCTTGGCTCCTGGTATTACATTAGAATTTATATACTCACATATAAGAGATTGGTGCTACAATCCACAAATGAGGGTGAATATACATTGCGTGCTTTTCTGTCACTTAGCATAACACCCTATAGTTCCATCCATTTACCTGTAAATTTCATAATGTCATCTTTTCTTACTTCTGAGTAGAGCTCCATTGTGTAAATGTACCACATTTTCATTATCCATTTATCAGTTGAGGGACATTTAAGTTGTTCCCATTTTTTAGCTATTGTGAAAAGAGCAACAACAAACATGAATGTGCAGGTGTCTCTACAGTATGAGTCCTTTGGGTATATGCAAAAAAGTGGTATAACTGGATCACACAGGTTCATTTTTGTTTTTTTTTTGAGAGTTCTCCACATTGCTTTCCCTAGTGTTTGCATGAGTTTGCATTTCCACCAGCAGTGAATGAGCCATCCTCTTTCTCCACATCGTCTCCAGCATTTGGAGTCTTTCCGTCTCTTGAGGATCTTAACCAGTCTGGCTGGGGTAATATGGAATCTTAAAGTGGTTTTTATCTGCATTCCACTAATTACTAAGGATGTTGAGCATGTTTTAAGGTGCTGCTTAGCCATTTTTATTTCTTCATTGAGAACTCTCTGAGCTCCCTAGCCATGGGTTCTTGACCAAATGTATAGTACCACGCATATGTTTTCTCCTGAGGAACAACCTTTGAATCAAATCAGAAAGTGGTTGGTTACCCCATGACACTCATGTCACTCCTGTACCTACAGCTATATCTTACCATGGTGGTCATTATTTCCGTTCACAGGTCTCACACCTGGATAAGATGGTTGGTGACTTTTTCTGCCAGCATCCTGCAGAGCACCTTCTAGTACTATGAGAGCTAACCAGCAGGAAGGATATATATATATATATCATGTTTTAGAGATCTCTGACCAAATATCTGAGGGAGGCACACCTGCCACAGGGCTTTTTATTTGGCAGCCTATGGCTTCTTGAATAATCATAATCCCGTGAAGAGGAGTAACTCCAATTAAACCTGCAAATTTAAATTTTTTGTTTTTCTTTTTAAAATATATTTTATTTTTATTTTATGTGTATGAGTTTTTTGCCTGCATGTGTATAAGTGTACCCATGCTGTGCAATGCCTGCAGAGGTCAAAGAGGGTGTGTCAGATCCGCTGGAACTGGAGTTACAGACAGTTGGGGTTTTTTTGTTATTTTGTTTATTATTTATTTATTTATTTTTAATTATTTAATAACCACATACTGAGAAGCATTTCATTACAACAACATTGACATATTCAATAACAATATCCAGAGCTAAAATGCATCTCTTTCAAAATTGACCCTATAAGATATAAAATTAAATTAGCTTTTAAACTTTAAAAAAGATCTCCATTTCATTATTAAATACAGTTTCATACAGAAAAATTCATTTTTAGTGCAATTAACACTAAGATATTTGCATATGCATTTCTAATCTCTATATATCTGATTATTACTAGTCACAGTCAGTTACTTTTTGAGCTCCTTGGCATCTGAGCATGGATATAAAGTCATCAGGTAGATTTCAATGGTAATGTTTTCCACATCTACTAATTATTAAGGAGCAAATTTTTATGCTTTGAAGAATTATTTTTTTAATCATCGTATATATTTTTAATTTTTAATAACTACATGATTAGAAGAAGCTTTTCACTACAGCTTTAACATATTCAGTAACACACTCCAGAGCAAGAGTACATCTCTTTCACCTGTGGGT